AGCAATTATATTAAAAGAATGTGTAAGACTACTAAGATAATGTTTTATACTCTGAAAGTTTGCATATAAACTTCTGCTATTAAAATGAATTAATGATAAATTGTTTTCAGTCTTAACATTGCTGTTAAACTGCTCATCCGTATAATACTTGCAGTTATTTTCAGAGTTCTCAAAAAAGTTTATTTCTGGGTCAAAATCTTCGTCCGGTTCATGATAATGAGTTTCAGTATTTCCAAATGTGTTCAGCTCCAGATCCAATTCGTCGAAAACTTTTAACTTGTGTGACAAATCACTTGCCTCATTCAGTACATGGGTCATGCTTGGTGTTGTAGATTCAACACTCATCTGCCCTCGCCGATATCAATACACCTGCGTGTTTCTTCATACTTCGAATTTCTCCCATACAGCCGAGGGTCCAGTTTTTAATGAATTTTTCTGGTGTGATTGCCAAGAATGTACAGACAGCCATGATGCTCTAATGCCGATCCTCTGCCTTTTCCTCTAGCACCACTAACAAGTCAGAGCATTCTGTGTGTGAAACTGACATATACTAATCGAACTGGTACATTTTGTTTAGACATTCATGGTCCTCAGAGGATGTATTCTGTTGATTTTTGATAACCCTTTATTTTTCCTGTAGCAACACTGTGAAGGTGACATTCTGTAATGAAATCTGCTACAGGCCGCAAAAGAAACTGTAGATATTTTGACTTTGGCGGCCTAACTTGTCAAATAGCACCATCACCAAGTCAAAAGAGAACCACACACACCTCCAAAAGTATTTAAATTCCCATCATTATTTAATGCCATCTTAATATCTGACCATAACATATTGTAACAAGAATAAGTGCACGTATGTGGTGGCAAGTGGTGCACTTGTCTTTCAGAAAGGGGGAACCTATTTGAAAGTAAAAAAGCCTTGCATGACTACATGGCATTACTGTGAGGAGGCGGGCCTGTTCAACCTGTTTCCTACTCACAGAAATCTGTCTTGGAAATCAGGAAGAATTCCAGGTTCCTGCGAGTGCCTTACCTTACCTTCCTGGTTAGAGTCGGAGGATGGACTAAGGCAGAGTTAGATGACGAAGTGCAGTCTCTTCACTGTTTACTGAGACAGAGTCAGAGAAAGTGTCAAAGCTTCTGCAAAGTTCATTTCAGTGGAAATAGGAGTTATTTTTAAAGGCACACCGTCATGATCTTCAAATAAGGAAGCTGCTGGCTGATGTGCTGAGGAATCTCCAGTTCGTTTTGCGGTTAGTGCTCATAAATTCCCATATTTGTCTGTATTTCTTTGCATTTCAAGGTTGTTTTCCATTTTACTTTATTTCTCATATTTACACTTTTTTGTGTTTAAATTTTGTGTTTTAATTTGAAACAAAACACAGACACAAGGACCACAGTGCTGTTGTATGCATTGCATTGCTATATTATTGAATGAAAAATAAAGTTAGGTTGTTCAAACCACAGAATAACCTATGAAATAAGGGAGACTGAGGGCAGAAAAAAAATGGAAAAGAGGAAGAAAGGAGACACGAGGAAGGTTTCCCATGGCTGTTTGCTGCTTCTGGCCCTGCTCCTAATCACGGCACTCTCCTCAGGTAACACCACATCCATATAAGACTTGTCTTCATCACTTTCTAATGCTAACTCACATAAAAACAAACAATACAATCTAAAGAAGAAGTAAACAATAGTGTCACGCCTCTTCATTCTTCTGTTACAAATCTTTCCAACCTTCCAAGAAAGTCATTGAGGCGAACACAGGTTTCCAGTTACTAGAATATTCAAATGTTTTTGTCAGCAGCGGAGGGAAACTAGACATATGACCAGAACTCAGCTCAGTAATTACTGAAGTAATGTTGTGCAAGTGTGTTGTATAAGGTCAGACCCTATGATGTGTGATCTGTCACATATCATGGTGACATAAATATGTGCCAAGCTCCTGTCTCTGGCTCCTTGGTAGTTTTATAAGTGTATAATCAACCTGCCTACATGTCTAGTCAAATTTAAAAATACAAGTAAAATGAAACCGTGTTAGAAGTTGAAAATACAGAGCTGGATTCTAATTAAATTAGAAATCATTTCAAAGTAGATTGACCACCATATAATAATGTAACAATAATAATGTTTTCAGTTTTTATTTTAATGTACATTTGTTAGAGTTTATCCAGTTATTTCCCCCTGTCGCTCTTTAATCCTTATCCCCCACCCCCACACGTACACATATCATTTACACTTAACCACTGCTCCAGCACAGAACACCCTCACAGCCACCTCCCCAGTCAGCACCGCTCCAGCACTGAACCCTGCAGCTGTTAATTACACTACATGGCCAGCTAACGTCACGGTGGCTGTGGGGCAGCCGGCGGTGTTTCGCTGTGGGGTTCCCAGCGCCTCTCCAAACCTCACATTCACCTTCTACAGGAGTCAGCACATATACAACCTCACCTGCCCTTATGGCCAAGTGGAAGCTGTCCCCCAGGTGAGCTGGTCATTGTCCTAGTGTTTCCTCTGCATGTCTCACTCTGTCCTCTTCTTCCTCTCATTAACACCGTCTTCTTGTCACACACAAGTTAGATTATTTGTTAACTTACTGTAAAACACCACACGTTATCATAATTTAACATTTTCTACCAAGGTGAGCTTGTACATAGGTCAGATTTCGCACATGGAATATTTTTACATTAAGCGGTTGCACATTGAACAACAGCTAAACTAACAATTATTTGAGGCATAGTTTAAGAATCTGGCTTGGGCTGTGGTTTAGGACAAGGAGACGAGAGAACAGTGTGTGTGTAAAAGAAGATAAGTAAGCTTTTAAAGAAAACCAGTGTGTCACATATCCTTGGTTATACTGTCTAAGATTTTCCACTCATATCAAACTCCATTAGTGATATTAGCTATACAAGGCATTTGGCAGAAACGGTGCGCGATGCTGCCGAAAAGTGTTTGGTGAACTCATTAAATGGCCAGACGAGGAAGTAATGAACAAAACCCGTCTCTTTAATAAGAGAACTAACGTAACAAAAAAACCATACAAGACACGGTGGAAACACAAAACTCACGGTCGGTATTACAGTCCGAGATCAGAGCCAGCAAACACATA